GTTCATCAACTCATTACTGAAATAGGAGGTAAAAGTTCAGGTTTCCCACTAAAAAGGGTCCTCATTAACACTGGTGGGAGTTCTGAATTCCTTTTGGCAACTCCTTCTCTGTGATAAATAGAAGTTCCTCACTGCTCATCTTCACATGGATGCCACAAATCACATTGGAGTGGCTTTGTTCCTACTGGGAAAGGGTGAAAGTCCTAACTACCCACTAAACCTCCTCTGACACCCCTCAAGAGGGGAAGGGAGGGGTGTCTTGGTAGTGCTAAATGGAGGGGATGCCAGGCTCCTCACTACATTGTCACTGACACTATAGACAGAGATGGGAGGAACTCATTATTTGCCAACAGGGATGGAAGTCTCTGGCCCCTACTCAGGGTTCTCTGACATCACTGCATTGCGTAGAGGGGTTAGGGGCCTTGTGGTAGCCTCCTATGCTTGGGCTTTCTACTTGGCCATTGCTGGCATGGGTGGGAATAGGGCACAATTATACCTGTTGTGTTTGTCTAGTATAGAGTGACTACTCTCTAAATGTTCTGGCTTGGCAGGCTTATTTTTTCTTGGTTCTTTAGAAAGAAATGATTTTGTCTGTGTTCATTGACATTTCCACGTTGCCAGCTTCTTCAGCTCCAAGTCTGACATATATGAAGCAAAAAGAAAACCCAGAAAGTTCACCAGCCTAGCATTCCTTTGTCCTTGAGGTCCCCAACCAGTCTGCCTTCTTCTCTCCACATTTTGGAATCTTTTTTACATCTATTTTACATGTATATTCCTAGGTTTTTAGTTGCATTTAGTGAGAGAAATAAAGTAAATTACCCTTATTCTATCTTCCCAGACTGTCTATATGGTTTAAACAAAATTTAAATGTTTTTATACACTTTTAAAACATGACCCTCATTTACTTCTTTTCCAGACTAGTAGCTCCTTATTAAATACCTGGATCAGTGTTTTTGACACTACAGATGGTGACCCATTAGTAAGTCATGAAGTCAATTGGATAGGTCATCACCAGCATTTGAAAAATGAAATAAAATATGGTAGAGTAGAAAATAAAGTACATTGTATATAGTAAGAGATAAGAATTGTTGCACTGCATTTTTGATAGGTGCATGTATGTGTGCATGCAAGTGTGTGCATGCAAGTGTGTGCATAGAAGTGTGTCAGTGGTTGTGTGTCTCTGTGTGTGAGAATACTGGGTTGCATAGTAAATTACATTTCTTAATTATGGATTATAGTCAACAGAGTTTAAAAAGCACTCATCTGGATGGCAGAGAATGGTGAGACAAAAAGAAGAGAAAAACTCTTCAAACTGGTTCAGATGAGGGTTGCTGCTACCCTATATCCCAGCCCACAAGCACTACCTGGATTGAGAGTAGTGTATTTGTGTGGGTGTAAGTTAGACTATGGCCCCTGTTTTCCATTTCAAAGTGCTGTTTGTCTCAAAATGGCTTGCCTTTAGGTTGACAGGAAGAGAGTTCAATGTTACTCTGTGATTTAGCTTCTAAATCTACAGAGGTTCCTGTAGTCTCTGCACTTTGCAGCAAACAGGTTTTTACAGGCAATGTTTGGAAGAGACTCCCTGGCACTCCAAAGATGCGTAGCTACAAGGGAATTGTCTCAGGAAGGGTAAATAGATTAGTGCCATGCCCACCTCAGTCCCAAATACTTTCATTTCTGAGTTAAAATCAATGTCTTGCTTGGAACCACTTGTGCTCTCTTGACACTGAATGAGGAAGAGGTGGGGGAGAAAGATGGGAAACCATAACTCTGGTGGAAATCCACAGAGTTTTTCCTCAGTAGCAGGGGCAAAAACACAAAGTTTCAAAGCAAAATAGGGGCAAGTTGAACTATAAGACATATATTACTGAGAAACAAGCACTGGAGGTAGAATGGAGGATTCACTGTATAAACCAGGTACAACTCGAAAGGTCAGAACATCTGGCGAGTAGTCTGAAGTTTCCATATCACTTCACCTTAGGAGACTCCATGTGAGCCATTAACTGCTGCCAGATGATTGTGTATGCCCTGGGCGAGGCTCAATGCAAGGTGCTTTACCTGGATGCTGTGCTGACTCTTTCAAATAACCCAGGGACAAGGATTACTAGCCTGTTTCACAAATGAGGATGATAAGGGTTGAGGGACTTGTTCAGAGTTATAGTTTGCAAGTGGCAGAGTCAGGATTTTGACTGATGTAGACTGAGACCAGGTCAAGAATGCTTCCCATCTGCTACAGTTATTTTGGGAGATAGGACCATGAGAGAATGAAATCAGCCACTACGAGAAGTTAAGAGGCCCCAGTATTTTTAAATGTCTGCAAGGCCCTCTGCTAATATGTAGTCCAGCGAAGTTTTGCACTATAGGACCCTTTCTGCAGTCTAACTATTTAAAGAAAACATATCTTTTTCCCTAAAACAAATTTTATTGGTTAAAAAGAGACACCATGAAATAAAAAATAGACAACTAGGCAGTCGAGGATGGGAGAAGAGTAGGGCGTTTGAACAGCATATTGGCCTTCTCTCCTCTCTTCACCTCGCTCTAGTGACCTGCCCCTCCACCTGTCTTCTCACCTCTCAGAACATCTTCCACCATGGCCACCTCAGCAAGTTCCCACTTAAACAAAGGCATCAAGCAGGTATATATGTACCTGCCTCAGGGCGAGAAAGTCCAAGCCATGTATATCTGGATTGATAGTACCGGAGAAGGTCTACGCCACAAGACCTGCACCCTGGACTGTGAGCCCAAGTGTGTAGAAGAGTTACCTGTGTGGAATTTTGATGGCTCTAGTACTTTACAGTCTGAAGGCTCCAACAGTGACATGTATCTCGTGCCTGCTGCCATATTCCAGGACCCCTCTGCAAGGACCCCAACAAGCTGGTGTTCTGTGAAGTTTTCAAGTATAATTGAAAGCCTGCAGAGACCAATTTGAGGCACATCTGTAAGTGGATAATGAACATGGTGAGCACCCAGCACCCCTGGTTTGGAATGGAGCAGGAATACACACTGCGGGGACAGATGGGCACCCCTTCCTTGGCCTGCCAAAGGCTTCCTTGGGCCCCAGGTCCTTATTATTGTGGTGTGGGAGCAGACAGAGCCTATGGCAGGGATATTGTGGAGGCTCACTACCGAGCCTGCTTGTATGCTGGAGTCAAGATTGCCGGCACTAATGCCGAGGTCATGCCTGCCCAGTGGGAATTCCAAATTGGACCCTGTGAAGGAACCAGCATGGGAGATCATCTCTGGGTGGCTCGTTTCATCTTGCATCGCGTGTGTGAAGACTTTGGAGTGATAGCAACCTTTGATCCCAAGCCCATTCCTGGGAACTGGAATGGTGCAGGCTGCCATACCAACTTCAGCACCAAGGCCATGAGGGAGGAGAATGGTCTGAAGTACATTGAGGAGGCCATTGAGAAACTAAGCAAGTGGCACCAGTACCACATTTGCGCCTACAATCCAAGGGGAGCCTGGATAATGCCCAGCGCCTAACTGGATTCCATGAAACCTCCAACATCAACGACTTTTCTGCTGGTGTAGCCAACGATAGTGCCAGCATCCACATTCCCCAGACTATTGGCCAGGAAAAGAAGGGCTACTTTGAAGACCATCTTCCCTCTGACAACTGTGACCCCTTCTTGGTGACAGAAGCCCTCATCAATTGTCTTCTCAATGAAACTGGCAACGAGCCTTTCCAGTACAAAAACTAAATGGACTAGACTTCCAGCTATTGAGTCCCTTCTGGTTCTCCATCCCACTCCAAATCTTCCCCCCTCTTCTAGTTGTCCCAATTGTAACTCAAAAGGGTGGAATATCCAGGTCTTTTTTTATTCCTCATGCCCAGTTAATCTTGTTTTCTTTGGCCAAGATAGAGGGGTCAAATTTTTAATCTCTTTGCACCCACCCTTTTTTTTTTTCCCCTATCACTGAAGCTTTTTAATGTGCTAGTGGGCAGGGGCATAACCACTACTTCCACTTAATGGGGTGAGCTTATCCAGGTGGAGCACGTCTGCTGGAGGGAGAGGACTTTTTCTTCAGGTTAGCTGAAAGGGGAAGATGTGGCTTACTCTAGGTTAGGACTTCCATTGGTGGAAAAGTTGGAAGAGATTATAACCAACATTCTACTGTAAGTGGGAATTAGAGAAAATGGAGGTTGGAGATCAGGGAGGGAAATGCCCTTATCTCAGGCCACACTTCCCTTGCTTGGGGCTAAATGCCCTCCCCTCAGCAAAGAGCTCAGAGTAAACTGATGGATATCCTTACCTTAAAAGAAGAAAGGGGTCTTATTGCTTTGTCCTCCTTTATAACAAAAAGTAGAAGTAGTATTTTTATATTTAAATGTAAAAACAAAAAAAAATTATATATATGGCTGTGGATTGTGTTTCTAAAGGTGAAAACCATCTGGGTCACAGGGAGCCAAAGTAAAGAAAGAGAAGTATCTCCTTTTGAGGAGGAGGAGGTGGGGGGAAGTGGTGCTTAGAAAGTTGGTAATTGGGGGTTAATTCCTCATTACCATTTCAGGGTCTCTGCCCTGCCCACCCTTTGGAGGAAGTGGGCACTGGTAAATTGACAGGTGGATGCAGGCTAACTAGCAGTCACTTGATCACCCAGGCTCTGTTTCACAAGATACATGTACTTGTCCACACACGAGTTTAGAAATGAGTTGGTTGGTCAACTTGAGCATGTTACTGACAGAGGGGATATACACATATTAGGGTTATTTTCTGGTGGGAATAGCATGTCACTAAAGCAGATCTTTTGATATATTAAAAAAATTTTTTTAAGCACAAAATAGAGAAGTTTAGAATTTAATCAAATTTGTAGGGTTTCTAAGTAATTTTATGTAATTGCTTATATGTTTCAACTGTGTCCTTTCACCTCTGTTCTTGGAGGAGACAGAGACAGGGCTGGTGGCAAAAACACTTGTGATTTTGTATCCTGTTGTCTTCTCCTAGTGCAAAATACTCTTTTCCTTTGTTAAGGTTGCTGAGGAATTATTTTTTTCTTTTATAATAAAAAACCTACCTTCATCCTGAAAAAAATAGACAACTA